CGGAATAGTTGTATGAGGAAATAGTTGTTTATCATAATGTTAAAATTGTTATTAAAATATTTTTCTTTGTTTAAAAATCATATTATATAAAGGATTAGTTATATTTTCCCAAAATATATTACATATGTAATCTCAGAAGAAGATATTCAAATCTAAAATGTGATTCTTTGTTCAGAAAATAAATTGTAGATTAGTTGAAATTCAAGTCATGGGATAGTATCCATTTATTTGTCATGTATATTGGTCAAAGGAGGTTGGTCAACAATTTTACTCATATCCTATTAAAGGTTAATAGATGATCTAGACAATCTTCTGAATATTGAGCTCATCTCACAGTTATTAATGTTTGTATCATTATTATGTATATATAAAGAGATTTCACAATAGTTTGTTCTATAAATTTGAAAATAAATGCAATGAATATTTTAATAGCATTTAATAGGGAAGCCCTTCAGGGATCATAAGCAGTAATTATGCTAACAAGCTTTTTAAAATTTCACAGCAGTTGAAACAAACATGAATATTTGTATCATAGTATTTTTAACTCACATTTAGAATGAAATCAATTTCTTCAAGTAAAAGCATCTACTTTTTAAATCACATATCCTTTGCTTTCAACAGAGGAAATTCTTAAATACAATTCTGAAGCTGAATAATTTTTTGTCAGATCAGTTCCTCATTTGTATCAGAATAATTCAGTAATTATCATCACATTTCAAGTGGCCATCATGTTCCACCTGGGCTATTACAGTAGTCTCCTAATTTGTCTCCCTGCTTTTAACTTTCTTTGCTCTATAGCCTATTTTCTATAAGCAGGCAGAGTTCCTTCCTAAATGTAAATATGTTCATTCCAATTCCCTGCTCAAACCCTGTAATGGATTTCCCAAATTCTTAGGATCAAAGACCTTAATTCTGTTCTGAACGTTCAATATAATCTGACCACCATTTTTTTTCTGACCTCATCATCTGTTAACTCTTGCCACTTGTTCACTCTGCCCCAGACATACTGGCCCCCTTGATTCTTGGCCATGCCAAGAGTGCATAGTTTTTGAAAATGCTGGCTTGATTCTCTTTCTTCATGTATTTGCTAAAATCATCCTTAAAACTTAAGAAGTTCAGCCCAAATACAACTTAATCAAAAGACTTATTTGACTACCCTAAATCAAGTTTTATCCCTACTTCACTCCGTATCCTCTTACCTTATTTTCTTTTTCTTTAGAGAACTTACTGCCTAGTGATGTATTATATGTTTCTCTTTTTTTTATCTGCTTGCTCTTTACTTTCTATGTCATTACCCCTCCACAGTGTATCATGAAAACAGCGATTTTTAAATTTTATTTTGCTTTTAGTTTTATATTGTGTTGTTTTATTTCTATTCTTGTTGCACTGTCTCTAAGAGTTATAATAATTCTTGGCAAAGTATGGAGTTCAACGAAAACACATTGAATGAATTAGTGCATATTATCGTGTGATTAAGCAAGATAATAGGTTCGTGAATTTTCAGCATTTCCCTCTAGTCTGCATGTTTAAAAAATTACATTTTTAAAATGTATAGGGACTGAATTAATGTAGAATTCTAAGAAAGTTAGAAAAGATACATTTAGGAAATAGTTCAGATAAAATGTTTAGGAATTTGTCCAGCAGAGATGAATTATTAATTATTTTTCAGATGCATAGAAGCATGAATAGAACTAAGTATTTATTGGGTGAATAAATAGATACATGCATAAATGCATGAACAAGAGAGAAAAGAAATAAAATGAAACACTTCATTATGGACAGATGTGTTTTGTTTCCTTTTTGCTCCATTAGTGAGGGAAAGATTCCTGCCATAGTTTATGGGGATGGCTGAACACACAACACCTGACATTGGACAGATGGGATTGACAGCTGGTTAGTCACACACGCTTACAGCCAGGGGGCAGAGGACACTGTGCCACACAGGGCCTCATGGGGGTTTCACTCTAGAGCACAGTGAACAAGCAGGGCCTACAGGAAGTAAGCTTTGTAGTAACAAAGGGGAAGATGTGATTGAGTTATTTGAATAATTCTGAGAGTTGGCAGAAAATGAAATCTGATGCTAAGGAATAAGCAGCCATTGTGCCCAGCCTCTGTGATAAGGGGATTGTTTGGCTAGGGAATCTTATCCATAAGAGAAGAGAGGGCTTAGGCCATTTATCCCCTCCAAACTTTATTAGATTTTCAGGCAGCACATAATATTTAATCTTATTTTTAGGCCCTGTACCACTAGATGTTTATGCATAAAGAGAAGTAGGAGTGAAGACTGACTCAGGATTCTGAAATGGAAGATGGTGAAAGCATCAAGTGAGAGTAATTGCATAGAAAGAGGAGGGATTGAGGTGTAATGTGATATGTCAATTGTGCTGTTTGCATATAAAGCTTTTGAGGTTTGATTTTGTCCAAACAAAGGCTTAGGAGTTTTCACTAGGATATTTAATTCCAATTTGAGTACCAAATTTTATTTTTATTTATTTTTTATTTTTTTTAAAAGATTTTATTTATTTATTGGACAGAGAGAGACACAGCGAGAGAGGGAACACAAGCAGGAGGAGTGGGAGAGGGAGAAGCAGGCTTCCCGTGGAGCAGGGAGCCTGATGCAGGGCTCAATCCCAGGACCCTGGGATCATGACCTGAGCCTAAGGCAGATGTTTAACAACTGAGTCGCTCAGGCACTCCATGAGTACCAAATTTTAGTAGCATAAATAAGTAGTAGGGTTTATGATAAGCATGGGAATATGCACAATTTTAGAACATTAAAAGTAGAATTCGAACATGTTAATGTACCTATTAAGAGGCAGAAACTGTTGTGTAATTTATTTAGGGAAAAAATTAGGGGGCTTATTTTTTATCATTTTATAGATAAAGATATTGATCTTCAAGCCATCAAAATAATCTAGTCATGCTTCTGACAACTTCTATCATTTACCAAATCCAATAATCTTTCTAGCAAACCACAGTTCCCATTGTAAGTGCACTTTGAATATTTGTAGTATGTATCCAGGAGAAATTACCAAAATTTTTCAAGTATAAACTAAAAGTATCCAAATATTAAAAGAGTAAGAATATATGATACGAAGAAGAAATACTCAACCATATGTTTATTTTTCTTCAGTGGAAGAAGCTAAAGACTATGATTGGGATAAACTTGGGAGTGGGCTGAATAGGCAGTTGAATAACATGTCAGACAATCTACTTGACATTATATTATATTTGTTAAAGTATACATTTAAAAAATTTAAACATATGATGGTCATACAAATTTAAAATAAATAAATGCCAAAATTTTTCACCTGATTAATTAATGAGGGAACTAGCAGTAAGTTAAAACCAGTTCAATGATCATCTGAGGAGTTAGGTCTTTATAGGTAATTTATAAATAAATGTTAAGCTAAGAATTGTAGATACAAATTTGATTGTGAAATTAATTAATATTGTAAAGATAAAAAATTGATTAATATCTTAAAGAGCAACAAATGTAACTTTTAGGATTATCTTTTCTTCAAGACAAAGGTGAAAAATGGTCTAATCAGTAGAAAACCAGTTAAAGATGTCAGCCCTATACTTCACTGAAAGAGCATTCAGTAATTTCTTTTGCCAATTTCCAAGTTTAGTTTACTTTTTCTGACACTTTCAATCTTTACCAAAAATATATGAAATGAATCTATGTAAATGTATTTCTCTTCATTTTACAAATGAAAAAAATAAAGCTCAAAAATTACAGAGTAAATAAGTAGAAAATATTGGATATTAATGAAAGTTAGTCCACTTCATTTGTAAATCTATCATCTTTCAATTACAACAACTTTCTGCTTAAACCATTCCTAAAGGTGGACAATCACTCAGCAGAAATATATTAGAAGGAAAGCAAATACTAGATTGGTAGTTGTTTCTACAACCCATATGGATATGGAGTGAGGTTTAATATCCTCAGTATCACCTGATGACACTGTAATAATAATTTTAAAAGTCTACAAATTCCTAGCCATTGATCTACCCGTCTTCCTGCAGCTATCTATGCATATAGTCTTCTTTCATACTACATACTATGGAAGCACTGCCCCCCTGCTCCAAATATGCCCAACCCTTTCACCTGTGAATTAAAGCCCAACCTTTACTACTTACTCAAAGATACTGATGCAGAAATTCTATCTCCTTTCTCTTGCATGTCCAGTTTTTCCCCTCTCTCTCTTTAATTCCCACACAACAAACATGATGTATCTTTATTCATCTCTAAAAGAAATTGACCTAAATTTAGCTCCAACTATGAATCTATTTTTCCTCTTCTCTTGAGAGAAAATATTCTATGAAAATATTGTCTTTGTAGTTTCAGAATTCTTTCTTATATTTGTCTTAAATCCCATCTAGAGAGGTTTTCATCCCCTCTCCACTGAAATTGCTCTTGGCAAAGTAACAAATAATGTTTAAATTGTGAAATCCACAATCTATTTCTTAGTTTTCATTTTACCTTAAATGCTTTTACCTGCTTGGATTCCAGGACACAGCATTCTTCAGTATCACTTAGTTCTCTTAGTATATTTTGCTAATTCTATCTCCCTGACTTGTTAATTTAGGAGGGTTGAAGAACTCACTCTTAAAATAACATCGATAAATTTACATTTCCAGAACTCCAGTCTCTTATATCCAATGGCCTATTCAAGGTCTCAGATCACATGTCAAACTGGCATCTGAAACATAGTAAATCTAAAATGAAGCTCCAAATCTTCCCCTGTCTCTCCTGCCATCATCTCCATTTCCTACTCCTCCAATGGCTCAGCCAAAATAATTTGACATCCTTGACTTTTCTCTTTCTCTCTCATGATTTCTATTTAACCTACCAGCATATCTTCTGTTTTATCTTCAAAATGTATCCAGAATCCAACCATATATAACTACTGTCAATACTAAAATCTTGTCCAAGCTACCATCACATTCCCATTAGATTATTCAATGACATTTTTTTTGCAAATTGAATAAATCACATGATTTATTTATGGGATTTCTACATCAGGTTGTGGTTTAAAAGAAGTTATATATGTGTGATATGAAGAGAATGATGTACAATCAATATGAATCTTGTTAAATCTCTCTTCTGTGGACTTTCTCCATCTTCCTGCTTAGCAATAAAAGGCATTTTTAGGTCTATATAAACATTCTTTACAAATGCCCTCTTAACAAAAAATTAGAATATAAATAGCACCAGGCATTTAGTAGTCACAGGCCAGTAAGTTCAATTGTGCAGTTGTGAAATGTAATGTGAAAGAGTTTGAAACCTTAAGGTTGGGTGTTCTGCAGTGTTTCCAACATGTCTTCGACTGCCTTAAGAGAGTATTTGGTTTCCTTCTTACTTAGACCTGCAAACTGATAAGCTCTGTTTATTTGACTAGCTGCCCAACTAGCATATTTCATGTTGTCCTTTTTTGTTTTTGCACTTGCTTTTGGATTAGAAGCAATATGACTTGCCGACATGTAAAACCCAAACAAAGCTCTCATATTTCTGTTGTTCAGTTTCAGTGCCTGAGCAAAATACTTTCTTGAAAGTTCAAGGTTTTCAAGTCCACCCTGGGTATATTTAACTTCAGCATACTGCTGACAGTATAAGTGGTTGTGTGGATTAGTCATCATTAGCTCCTCTAAACAAAAGGCTACTTTAGCATAGTCATGTTCATTGATATAAAGTTCTGCAAGTTCATGCCAAGCTTCTTGGTCCCCAAAAAATTGTTCCAGATACTCATTCAGTTCCCGAATGGCCTCCACATTTTTCCCCTGGGCTTTTCGAACGGCAATCTTACGCTTTCTTGCAGCAGTGATAGTTGGATCTTCTTGTAAAATTCTATCATATAGTTGTATAGCATCATCATATCTTTCCATGGCCTCAAATCTCATGCCAGTTAGTCTCTTGACTCTGTGACTGCCAGGGAACTGTCTTCTCAACTCCTGAAGACAAAACAATGCCAAGTCATCTCGACCATAGTCTAGGGCTGCAATCATCACTTGCTCATATATGATCCAAATATCATCTCCAAGCTTAGAAGTATATTCATTAATTAATTCCTCTCCAACTTCCACAATTTGCTCACTGTTTCGTGAGTTTTCTTCTCTCCATTTTCTCATTTTATCTCTCATTTCTTCCCAAGTGACATCGTAAAGCTCTGAGACCTTCGCCATCTTCTCAGAACCTGGAGGCAGGGCTATTCAATGACATTTTAACCTGCCTCCCTGCTTCAATTTTTCTTCCCCTTTAATTTATTCTCAATGAAACATCCAGAGAAGATCCTCATATATGCTATTTCTCCATTCAAAATCCTTAGTTGAATTTCTATGTCAAGGACTTTCCACCAAAGTCTTTATAATGTTTGACAAGACCTTACATCAACTGACCTTTCATTATCTCTCAGGTGTCTTTCTACTTCTCAGACTCTCACTTGCTCTGTCTTTTTCCTTATCAATCTTCTGTTTTCTTACTAGAAAACTGCAGGAATGAATGCAACTCAGGGTATTAGTATAGGTTTTTCTCTTTAATGAAACTTGATTTCCCCAGTTATCTACATGGTTTATTCCCAAACTTAATTTCTGTATTTATTCTAATATGATTTCTGTTGGAGTTGTTTTTCCTAACAACAGTATTTTAAAAATAAACATTCTTATTTCCTATACCATCTTCCCTGGATTATTTTTTCCATTAATCACTATTAAGATCCTTTACATTTCAATCAATATGTTTTAATATCTGTATCCTTTATTTGAATATAAGATGTCTTCATATAGAAATTTTGTCCTCTATTTTTAACTCTCCCTCTTCAATCTCATAAAATAGTTCCTGAATTCTTAGCATGTAATAGACATTCAATACGCATTTGTTCACTAAGATAATGAACAATGAATAGATGAATAGCATCTGATCAATAGGTTATAGGTGCTTGTTAAACAATTTTCTCTTTTTTCTTGGCCCTTCATTCCAAACCAGATCAACCTTCCTATGATTTATTGATTCTAGATATTGTTCAACTTTCCAAGATCAGAATGACAGTAGATCTAAGAAAGATACATACATAACCTCTACTGCAAATTACTTTAATTTTTTTCTCAATGACATTTATATGCATACCAAATCTTTTTGACATGAATCTAAAGGAATTATTTTCTAATAATTATTTAAAATATTATAACATGCTGCCTAACATATTGACACTACTAGAAAGATGGAAAAACCTACTGTGGATTCTAAAGTCTTGTTGTTCTCTCTTTTAAGGAACGTGCTAAAATCAAGGTGCTGGCAGGGATGCATTCCTTTGTGGAGGCTCTAGAGAAGAATCCATTTCCTTGCCTTTCCTAGCTCTACAGGCTGCCCATATTCCTTGGAGCCTTAACCTTTTATTCTTCAATGTTAACGATGGCCAGTTCAGTCTTTCCCATGATGTCATCTCTTTCTTTCTGACTCTTCTACCTCCATCTTCCCCATTTTAGAATCTTTGTGATTACATTGTGTCCACATGGATAAATCCAGATAATATCCTTTATCCTTCACTTTAAGGTGAAATGATTAGCAACTTTAATTCCATTATAATCTTGATTCCCCTTTGCCAAGTGACAGAATGTATTCACAGATTCCAAGAATTAGATGTATACATCTTTAGGGGATCATTCTGACTATTACATCTATAAATAGCAAAAATATCAACTATGTTTGGCTAGAAATGCAAATTATTGCACCCATTCAAGTTCTACTCCTTCAGAATCTTTGAGGGTGGGTCCCAGGATTCTGTTTTACCAAGATCTCCAAGTCATTTTTAGTCACACTAAATTTTGGGAAATGATGGTTTAGGAGACACAAATCAAGAATAAGTGACTTTCTTTGTCTCATAAGAATTAACATCCTAAACTAAAAACATTTAAAGATATTAACTTATGTATTTTAGATATTTTTTCCAGCTCTCCCTTCCTTGCTTTTGCATTGCTCAATAGTCTACTACCAAATCGTCAAATGAGTTGCTGTTGCTATAGCTCTTTCTCTGACCACCTTCCATTCTCTGGTTTGTGGACATTAAATTTCTTTCCTTCCTCTCTTCTCACCCATTCCAGGGATATCACTGCTGCTCTTACTCTCTCAAACCAAGATTACACCATGCCAATGCTTCTGGAAAATGAACAGTATTGGGGATTTCTAATCCAGAGTCTGGTTATTGCTATCACCTTTCTGAATATTGGTTTTGTCATTTCAATCTCTACTGCCAGGGAGCTGTAGTGCATTTTATGAATTGTAGCTGGGCATATCAATATTTTTTTCCTGACGGAAATATCCAAGAAACCAGGTAAAATCACAATTCCAATTCCATTAAATGTTTGTTTTAAAAAATCTGTTGTAAGAATTCTACCATTTATTATATAAAAAGTGACTTATAAGATTATTACAACAAAGATTACAGTTTTAAATAAAACTGAAGAAACAAAATTGCTTTCCTACTTTGTCACTTTTTCTCATGTCATCGGATATTTATTATCTAATTACATATTAGGTAGCATTATTTTTCTTTATCACTCAGGTAGAGACACTGATTCAAATCCTTTCTCAGATATATATTCGTTTCAATTCTTTCTCAAAATAAATTGTTATCTCTGTGACATTAGGCAAAAGGTTTAGGATCTGCAGGAATCTGGGAGGCAGAGACCAGTCAATATTCACATAAAGCCCTCCCTGTCTATGAATTATTTACTAAATGTAGGGCCAAGTAATACTTCACACTGATGTTCTTGCTGACTGAAAAGGAAATCCCCAAATATTCATAAAAGTCCAGAGCATCTATGCTGCTTAGCATTCTGAGTGAAGGGATATCTGTCACAGCCTGTGCTGAATGGATTCCTTGCTTATATTATGAAACAAACACATTTATGACTCAACCCCTGTATGATATTATTCCTTCAAAAAATTTGGGGCCTGATGTAATATCTAATAAAAACAATAATAACATAGTTCAGGGAATATTCCTAGCTTTTTTTCTGGGAAAAAATAAGCTTGATATCTAACCAGAGGATCTTTAACCCAGAAACATAGATCATGGAACACTTTATGTAAAAACAGCAGAAAAGGGGTTTAGTTATTTTACCCCGTCTAATCTCCACTGGCAAAAAAGTTATTCTGGTGTCTTGAATTTTCCGGAGCCTACATCAAGTTTCTTTTCTTTCTTTTTTTTTTAATCAAGTTTTTTAAATACCCTTACATTCTATTCTTCCACACATGATATAGAACTAAGATCAACCTCATGCAGTTATTTTGAAAAATAAATGAAATAATGATGTACATAAAACCCTCAGTGGATTACATGACCTACATAAACTCCTCAGTAAATTGCAATGGCAATGAGATAATATATCATTATTTACATAATTAATGTCTTTATTTTTTATCTTATTTTTATGTTTTTAACTATTATTTAATTTTAAAATTATATATATTTAAGGTGTACAACATGACATTATACATATACATAATGAAATGATTATTACAGTCAAACTAATGAACATACCCTCTCACATATTTACATACAAATGGAAACAGTATATGATCAACTCCACTAATCATCAGAGAAACACAAATCAAAACCACAATGATAGATCACCTTACACCTGTTAAAATAGCTACTATCAAAAACTTAAAAATAAATAAAATAAAATATAGTGAGTGTTGTGAAGGCAATGAAACTCTTGTGTATACTGTTGATGAGAACATAAATTGGTAGAGCCCTTATAGAAAACAGTATGAAGGTTACTTAAATAATTTAAAATTGAACTACCATATGATCCAGTAATCTCTCTTCTGTGTATATACTCAAAGGAACTAAAATCAGTACTTTGAGGAGATATCTGTTTTTATTATTTTAACATGGCAGTCTACATTTAATTCCATGACTTTTGTCACTGGATCCTTCTTTCTTTTCTTTCTTTTTTTAGATTTTATTTATTTATTTTACAGAGAGAGAGAGCGCGCACAAGCAGGGGGGACAGCAGGCAGAGGGAGAAGCAGGCTCCCCGCTGAGCAGGGAGCCCTCCATGGGGCTCTGATCCCATGGGTTCATGATCTGAGGCGAAGGTAGATGCTTAATTGACTGAGCCACCCAGGTCCCTCGGATCCTTCTTTCTATGGAGATTTTAGATAATTAGGTAAAAGAATGAAATAGAGAATTTAGGAGTTGAAGTCATTGACCTTAAAAAAGATATTAATTCCTAGTATCTCCATTTTTCTTGTTTTCTAAATTGAAACAGAAAAACAACACAAACAAATAAAAAAACAAAGTGATCTACCTTTTTTTTTAACACAATTTGGAGACTCTTCAGTAAGTACTTGTTATAACACCATTTTCCCCTTTCCATTCAATCAGATCCCAGCCTTCTGCACTGGGGGCATCTCTATCCAACACTTTTTATCACTTTACTCCTGTTAGTTGACACCATGTTTCCTCTCACCACTCCTGAAGTCGTTTTTGAAATATATTTTGAGTGCTATAAAACACAGCATGCAATTGTTTAAACACGAAGAGCAACTACTTTCTCATTCAGGGATCTTTGGTGGTTCAAAATATGTGCTTAATTTTAAAGAATTCAATGGGATGTGCTTTTAAAAAAAAAAAATGGGTTTCCCTCTCTGTGATAAGTGCACATTTCCTTAAACACACACACATACACACACTAAGAAAATATCATAGGAGAGTAATCTCATTTGAATGTCTATTTTGTCATATCTGACAGATAACCATACTCCAATTTTGTACTTCTCTATATTGTTTAGGGTATTCTGTGACAGTAATGGGAACTCCATGGAAAACCAAGACAGTGATATCAAATCCTGAGTTACCATGGTAAGATAAATGATACAAATAAGACGAGCTGAGAGAAATAAATGTTTAATTATCTAATATCTTGTGATAAATATTTAGAAATAAAACATAAACCAGAAAAAAGCATGTCTTCATATAAGCCAATATATTACCAAGTCAATACATAAAGAAAATAGTTTTTTTTTCACAGACATCAACAACATTAGTGGCAAATAATTGATTTTCTTAAAAGTTCTTTGCTTTCAAGTTATTAAAAATTTGAACAAAAAGGTTCACATTTCAAAAGAAAATGAGAAAATTGTTTTTGTCTACTCTACACATTCATTCAAAATGAAGGGTTATCAAC